TATCTTCTTATTTGTAAAACCAGTACCAAAGTATAACTTAATAAGATGCTCAACATTCTTCATTGTACCACAAATAAAATACAGTAAACTCTGCTTTATCATGTCGGACATGTCGGAGTTCGAATAATATTATGAATCGTTTAGCTTCGGATTAGTCATTTGCTAACACGCCTACTGGATTGATTGACAGGTCACGTTGTGGATCCGACTCGTGGAAAAAATAAATTAATTAAGGAGAGCTGAAGAAAAAAGTCACGCGCGACTTTATTCTCGTAATATTAAGACTTTATTCGACTTTATTCTTGTAATACTACAACTTTATTCTCGTAATTGTATGGCTTTTATTTATTTTTTTATTCTTAGCGTGGCCCTAAAGCTCCGTCATAGTAAAGTAAAACTGACAATGCAAAAAGTATTTAAAGTAGTGTTTACATTATTTTTTCATTAAAGTTGTTCCAAGACTGTAGCAATCATTTTGTGTCTCACTCCCCTCAAATTAGCTGTTAGCTTGACAGTTTGGCCAGAGTTAAATTGTCTTTTTGTTGTTGTTTTTTTCAAACTAAAGTTGTTCAGGAAGATATCTGCAACAGGTAAGATGTTAATTGTTCGTAACCTTTCCACAGAACCCCACTTCAAACAATTTGAACTACTTCTTCAAGAGTATCTTTTCAAACACAGGTTGACCCTTTTTTGTGGTGTGTTCGGTTGTGTTCAGAGATGTGTTTGTGTTGCGTGCGAGTGTGTGTGTGTGAGTGTGTGGCGTCTATAGCTCATAGAGAATCCATCAAAGCTTATCATTATAAGTAAACATGACAGAGTGGACAAAATGTCTTGTGCGCCGCCAGACCTGCTATCTGACCACAAGCCATATCTGTGATGATGGACTGATGTGGCGCTAGCCTGGACTTACCAGAGTCTGTGTGCGCGAGCGTGAGTGCATGTATGAGAACACACTTGAAAACACACTTTGAAATGCATAAATATGTAGAAAGTCAGACAGACAAAGCAATCCCGCACTTATAATAGCTTTAATCTTTTAAATCTTTAAGGAATACTGCCCCTGTAGTGCATAAAAGCTTGACTTATTGCTCACTCATAAATGGGGAGACAGTGGAATATTTCATATAGAGTTTATAACAGTTACTTATTGGCTAGTGCTGATCAGGGTTCATGTATAGCTGTACCCATGTGTTCAGTCCAGACTGAGGTTTCCCCCCAAAATAATGATCATTATTGTACAAGACAAGCCTCTTTCTTTATGGCCGACTAGATCAGAGGAGAGTTAAGAGGCGCTGAGGGAGATTTATTAGTTGCAATGAATCATCTGTGATTGTGGTTTCTTTAAGAGTTGGTCTTCACTTGCCAAGCAAGATGATTTAAACGTAAAAATGATCTGGGAAGTGAAGATATATTCCCGCACCAGTTTGTTTTAAGTGCTTTTATTTTTGCTTTGTCCAAGGTTAGGTTAGTTGCATGTGTGTTAAGTGTTGAGGTCAGCCTGCGTGTTCCCCTGCTTGTTACAACACCTCTGATAAGCAGGGTAAACAGCCACGCACTGTTTGCTCCCCTACCACAGTCACATGATCAAAAACCTCTGATGCCCGTCTGACTGATTGTTCCAGAAAGTAATATTCTGTCTTTTTGGGGGGCGTCATTTGTTGAGCCTTTCTTCTGAGCCTGGATCCTGCAGAGTCTGAGGAGCGTTAGCTGTATTGATAACCTCTCTCCTGTTGTTCAAATTTGGGGTCAAAGGTCATGGCTGCAGTGCCTCAGCTGACTTTGCACATTGACAGTAGGAGTAGTGGCACTGGATGGTATACAGTAAAGAGCTTTACAGAGCCATGTCTTTGTCACTTTCATTCTCTTGCATGTGCATGTGGTGTGTCAGTGTAGAAGGACTGGAGTGGGAACCTAAAAGGTGGTCTTTAAATCAGTCTGGATTATCCTAGACCACCATGATCGAGTTGACTGTTTCCATTACATCTAAACCGCTAAATCATAATGGATCATTTACAAATATTTCAAGAATTTTGCCGCATCTGTCTGTAAACCACAGAATCCTTCTGACCCTTTGTATTATCAGTTGTGTATGCAATGATTATTTTGTGTGCAAAGGTCTAGAGAGGACTACTTTGACATTCTTTAGATATATTCCCCTTTTTTTTGTTTTTACTGCAAACCAAATCAGAATCACTCTAATGTCTGCATGGAGCTACCTTAGCTTGGTTGACGTGCTCTTTTTTTTTTTAAGTTGGTGAAAGGTTGATTTAATCTTTAACACATGAAGCTTTAATTTAAGTGAAGTCAAAGCTGTTTAGATGTGGGACACTCAGTTCTGATAGCATTCCTTTAAACTTCTGTTTATCTTCCTGATTAACTCTGTTTTAAAGATTTCTTGTCCTAATTGGTTTGTTGCTCAACTCTCAATCAGCGTTCATCATCTTCCTGTAAACACTTCTCGTTTTCCAGAAATATAGCTGCACTTATTTTCAACGTGCCGACTAATTATAAATGAATTATGACCCCATATTCTTTATCAATTATCATTTGTGTGACACCTCCTCCTCCCAGTGTTTAGGTTTGGGATCTTCTCGCTGCCACCGTGTACTTGAATTTATCAGTGACTCTAGTCTAAGCTTTAGCTTTGACGTCTGAGGAAAAAAATGATTTTAAATCAATCCAAGGCCTGAGCTGGGTCAGCTCTTTGGGACATTTTTAACAGATAAACTGAGATTTTATCTTTTTCAACCCTCACTTACCAAAATAAACCAGGAACAGAGCAAAACAAGAAAAGATTTTAGTCTCTGCTGTTGTATAAATATCAAACTCTGGAACCAGATGTAAGTAAAACGCCCTAATAAAATAAGATAACTATATTTTTGTTCTGATTATGGTGCTACTTGTTGGCACAAACATACAGACATGCATATTACGAACACGAGCTGTGCTTCTTGTAGTTTTCCCTTATGGTCATCTTTAAATATGTGTGCAGGTATCACATTCATGCCGTTTGTTGCCCCTGAGATAAATGTATTGTAAAGATTATTTTACCTGACGCTAAAACAAAATTACCATATTAAATGACAGGAGCATCTGCTAAACAAATAACTTTACACCGTTTGAGGAGCGCATCTTGAAAATGTTACTTTAAAAAGAGGTAAAACTTTATTACATCTCGTCTTAGTATTTAAAATTCTATGCATTTCTCCATTTTTAAGACTTCTTATTTAACTTATTCGCCTTTTCGAAGTCTTCCTCCAAGAGGGGTAATAAAAAGAAATTGAATTTGAATGCATTTAAACAGAAGCAAAACACCTTATTGAATAGAGCGCATTATAGAAACAAAGAGGGTGGAGGGCCACGTTTTGATCTGTCACACTGATGCTGTGGTGGCTTTTGAAAAGGGGACGATGCTACCCAGAGCCACAGGGCCAGTGCCAACACAAACCCTGATCCCAAGCCACTCCACAACGCTTTGCTCCTAGCCGGGTTAAGGAGAGGAGGGGGCAGCGGAGGGGAGCTGACGAAAGTCTGCACAGGCCGGAGGAGCGACACACAGGCGCCATGGCGATCCCTAAGACAACTTATCTCTTCTCTCTCAGTGATAGCGCCTGTCAAAATAACTGCCAAGATACACAGCCAGCAAGGAACCGGTTAACTTGTCCAATCAGAGGTCTTTCTCCAGCATAGATTGTTCAATGCAGCCACACATGATCTCACTGCATTCTTTAATCTGCTGAGGAACACAGAAAAACACCAAATTACGATTCATTTGAATTTAAGACGGATATTTAACATTGAAGATACAGGTGTCGTATCAGGCTCAAGTCAAGATTAAAGTTTTATTTTTACATCTTTAATCATCTAGAGACCTTTTTGGGTGTCATTTGGTGTTATTTTGACATGGGAAAGGGCTAAAATTAATAACTGTAAAGGGAGACTTTTTATACACTGGTTCAATTTGTTGTAAATTTGCTCCACATACTGCCCTCATGGCCTCCAACCTCAAACTTTTTAGGGGAAACAGTCATTTATGAAGATCTGTCGCCACCTAGTGGTTTTAGTTGGTAACTGTCATGGAGGGGTCCTGGAGGGCTAAATTATCTCATCCTTCATAGTTACGGAGAGACACTTCTGGCACAGAGAGATATGTTAAAGGCCCCTGGGCAAAACAGCACAAACAGTAAAAACACAACAAACAAAATCATCTAATAACAATGTGTTTTTTAAAAGTTTGTAACCTTATACTTTTGCACATTTTGAATTTATGGGTTTTGTCCTTTTGTAATATTTTACATCTTTTGTTGCCTTTGTTTTCTCATCGTAAATCAATCAACCTTTATTTATACAGGTAAATCCCATTGAGCCTCTTGTGTTCTTGGCTGTTTTCTCATCTGTTAGTTGATGTTATTTGGGGCATTTTGAAATGGATTATTTTGTCACAGCATGACAGCAAAGCAATCATTGGAGTCACATTTTACATTATGGATCTTAGAATTATTGTTTTTGCTTCTCGTTGCTTATGCTGCCATTATTTTCTCTCAGTTCTATGTGTGATTTGAGTTGTTTATCAAGATTTGTTTTACACCTCATTCTCCTTTATAAGTCCAATGTAATCTCTTCATATATTCTTATTGTTTTTCAGTCTTTTATTATTAGGATTATTATATTTTATTTAAAATAGACGTTAAAAAAAAAAGGTCAGTTCCCTGACCGGGAATCGAACCCGGGCCGCGGCGGTGAGAGCGCCGAATCCTAACCACTAGACCACCAGGGATCCGTGTAGTGCCCCATCACCTGTTTGTTTTTTTAAATATATTTTAATTCTCTCACACAAACTGTTAATGCTTTTTAATAAGGCGAACTACACGGACAACACTGTATATTATCTAATGTTGCTAAGATACGACTTGAAACTAACGATAAAAGAACGTGAGCTTTTGCTACGGTTCCTTGCACATGACGCCAGGGGGCGTCGCGAAGGGAGGAGCCATGATTTTTACGTAGCAACTCGAAGATGCTCGAGTTGTATCAGCGACCTGTTTCCTCTCGGTCAGGTTGAGCGTGTCACGGCGTCGTTGCCTACAAATGTGAAGCCATTAAGCCGAAATGCAAGAAAAAGGAACGTCTCATGGTAAGGAAGCGGGTTTGGAACGTGAGACTTGTCTTCTTTTCTTTTTTTTTTACCGCGAACGCCTGGTTGCTATTGTCTGTAAACAAAGTAGCTAGCTGTAGCACCGTTAGCAGCAGCTGTCTGCTCAGCTGGAGGAAGACTGGACCTTGCTCTTGTTTGCTTAAACCTGGCAGTGGCATTGGCTTTGAATGAGCACATCTGGTCCTATATGTTCGTTTGCTGTTATTGCTTCATAAAAGGAAGCTGAACACTAATAATGACGAATCCTGACGAGTCGTTGGCATTTAGCAGTTTCTTTCAAGCTGTTTTTTTTTTTAACACTTCCAGGCTACGTGTAACTAAAAATTTCTTCAACGTTCACTGAGGTGCGTGCAACCTTTTATGCTTCATATCCGCTTCATCGGATTACAGTTAGCTTGTATCTCAGTCGGTGGCTAAACTGTTTACATTAAACAGATTCAGTGCTAATTCTGGACAGATTTCTGTGGTTATATAATAAAACACACGTGGAAACCAGGAGCAGATGTGCTTGCAAGTGGCGTAAACCTTTGGGTATGATTTCCTCTCAGCTGACTAACCTGACACGATTGTAGGATGCTTTCATCGCCCTCCACTTAAGCTGAGTGACTGATGGGATCATTGTTTTTTTACTGAGTGCTGCTGAGTGAGGAGACTGAGAGCTTTCTAATTTCCTTCCTTCTTTTCTTCTGCAGAACGAGAAAGGCGTGTGAGAGCACAGTGAGGGATCTGAGCTGTTTGGATGTGGGAGAGCAGGTGTTTGTATGGATGCACTGAATTCAACTGCATGCACAATTGAAAGCCTGCCCTGATGGAAAAGCGAGACAGAAAGCAAGGCTATTTTGACAAGTAAGCAACTGTTTTTGCAACAATCTTGCCCCAATGTGTAATTTTTATTTGTTTGTTTTATGCTTCCACTTGGTGACAAATTTAAGTACTCGTTTGGCTGAATGAGAAGCTTCTTCTACTAATTCTTTAACGTACAGGAATAGATCTTCAGAAGACGCATATTGAATAAAGGAATGCATTAATCATGGAAAAAAAAAGAAAATTCATCCAAGTTTTTAATCTTTTCAACTGCAAGGTTATGTGATGAAAATGACCGATTGGCAAAATCTGACATGATGCAATTACCTCTTTTGGAGTGTATTGTTACTGTGCATAGTCCCAAATAAATAAACTTAAAACTTTAATAAAATAACATTTCCTTTTTAATAATACTAATCACATCAACATGACGCTTTATAAATGCTCTTAACATACGGTATATGCTTGTAGAGGTAGATGGATTATTTGGCCAATATTTGCTTCTAATATAAAAATGGCTTTTGACCATGCCTGTGCGTATTTAATCGATTTAATCGACAAAGTGGTACGGTGAATATGCAGCAGGAGCTGCTACAACCAGCTCACTGCAGCAAGCAGTTTAGTTTTTTTTTAAGCAAAAATACTCTTCCATGTATAAAATGTCCAAGCCCCTCTAAGTGTTGTAAAATATATGTTTATTTATGTAAAGAAATTATGTTGCATTTTTGTTGATGGAAGCTGTATTGTGGCCAGAATCAAATAAACTGTGTCGTATATTGGCCAATGGCTGCCATAGAAAAACACAGCAATCAACCACTAATATGCAGCACGGTTCAAATCGTTTAAACCCCTAACTTCTTTAACTTTGGCTTCCAAGCTGTCAGACTGTCTTGTAATCCTTTAAAGTGGTCTTGATAATCATTTCTCCAAGTTTTCTGAATGTTTGTTAAAGGTTTTCTTTGGCTTCCTGTTTCTACTCATTTTCAGTTGAAGCTGGGGGGGGGGGAGGGGGGGTGTCACATCAGGTACTGAAAGCAAAGGTTCACATACTTTGCAACTCACAAATATTTAATATTGGATCATTTTCCTCAATAAGTAAATGACCAAGTATAATAGTTTTGTCTCATTTGCTTAACTGGGTTCTCTTTATCTACTTTTAGTATTTGTGTGAAAATCTGATGTTTTAGGTCATATGCAGAAATATAGAAATTCCTAAAGAGTTCAAAAACTTTCAAGCACCACTGTAACTAGTGCGATGTGAAACCGATGAGAGTTGAGACGGTGACAAAGCACCATATGATTCATGGATCAGAGTTTTGGGACTTCATAAATTCACAAACATTATTCTAAAACTGCGCATGTTCTGAACCAAAAGTAAATGAAAAAGCAGCCAATACTAATACTGATACTAAATCCAAACAAAAACCATTCGAGGACATTCAGAGAACATAAAGAATTATTGAAAAATACCACTTTAAAAGATTTAGATTAAAGCCGTGCTCCTTGGAGAACGAGAGATGATTTAAGACCTGTATATTTGTTAAAACAGACAACTTGTAGTTGGTTTGGTACAAGATCATTTTGTTAGAGTAGTGAAATTTGAGAAATGTTAGGAACAACAACCCTTATTAAGTTATCCTGATGCATGCTCCATAATCCAGGTAGATAAATCTGACAAGGTTGAGTCAGGTCCTTTGGACGGATTCTTCTTTGTCGAAACATTTCATCTTGATGTCAGCAAACTTGTTGATCTACTGTGAAGACTTTACTTGCTCTTCAGACTAAAGAAGTATTTTTGATAAAATACAAAATGTTTTAACAAGGAAGAACCCACGCAGAGGACCCGACCCAACCTCGTTAGACCCTTATCGAGGTTACGTTGTATAGAGGGACAATAACGTGTCAAAACCATCATCAAATTATCCTCGTTTTGTGATGGTCGCACAGGTGAATTGTTTCATAGAGCTGCATGTTTCATCCAAATGGATAAGGAAAATTTTCAAGGATTTACAGGCTGTAAAACAGGTAGTAGTAAAACTGAGCACATTTCAGAACAACAAAATTGGTTTTAAATTTTAAGAACAAGGACATTTCTGCACTTGCACTGTTTACGTGTTGACTGTACCGCTTGACGCTGTGGCTGAGTGGTTAGAGAAGTTGTCCTCCAATGCAAGAGTTGGGGGGGTTCAAATCCACCAGCAGTCACATGCTGAAGTGTCCCTGGGCAAGACACTGAACCCCTCATTGCCTCTGATGTGTGTCCCATCGGTGTATGAATGTGATAAAGCTCTGATTAGTCTCTTTAGAATGATTTGTTCCATTAGCTTCGTAGAGATCTATCAGAGTGCTGAATGAATGGGTAAATGAGGACACGGGTTGTAGTGTAAAGCTTTGAGTGTCTTGATAAGACAGAAAGGCGCTATATAAATACAGACTGTTTACCATTTACAGTACCAATAAGATGGTTCTGTGGTCCATTGCGAGTTTTCTCTGTTTTGCTTCTTTCTGATTCTGTCTCTGGTTTCTTGTTCTGGCTGTGCGGAAAGTCTCGCTCGAACAACATTTTTTTTTTTATGTAACCTTGTTCTGTTGATTAACTTATATTGGAAATCTTATATTATTGTAATAAATTACATTGTCCTCCATCACCCAGCAACCACTAATTATTGAATCAGCCGTGTACTGGTTTTTCAAGGGATGCAGGTTGCCTAAACTAATTTAGAGCTGGCGTTTCTGCCAAGCTGTCATACAAGTCTCAGCCTGTCTGCAGCAGTTCATCTGCAACATAACAAACATTTATGTCCTGTCCTGTTGACGCATCAATCCACCTAGCATGATTTAATATGCATTACTGTACATGTATTTAGATTAGGTGATATCATATATGGGAATATGTTGTTGTTGTTTTTTCGCTAGATTAGAACACTATTAATTTGTGTATGGTACTCTTCACCCAGTCACTGAAGATCTGTTGATCAATCTTTAGAAGGGGTTTTTGTTCTGTCGAGCTTAATGCTACAATTTGAATCAAACATGAATCAAACAATGGATTCAGCAGCAACCGAAGCCAATGTGGTGGTGGTTTCTGTTGCTGCTAACCCAGTACCTTCAGTGCAGATGCAAATATGAGTGGTTATGCTCATAGTTATGGTTAAAAAAACATGGACTAGATTTGTGATTTGAAGGTATGGTTTTAGACTTAATTTTTTGAGAACTTGGATTTTTTTTTCATTCCACAAATCAAAGATTTGTTGGAGAAATCAACAAAATCTTCAGTAAATAATTTGAATTAAGCCAAAAAGGAAAATCTGTCATACTGTCATTCATAACATAGAAGTCTAGATAAATGCAGCAGTTTTCATTTTCACATGTCATCAAACTCGCAGAACTCTGAGGGATTTCTGAGTATGAAAAGAGTCGATAGAAGAAAAATAAACGTCATCAACCAACTTGGCTACAATTGTAACAAGTTCTTGTTTCTTTGCTGCTTCGTTTCCTGACAAATAGGGCAAAGTTCATAATGAATTGCTCGTATACAGTCCCAGTTAAAGTACTGCGCATAATATTATCACGCCTATTGTAGGTGAAAATCACTAACAGTGTAAAACGACTCTTAACAAACGGTGTACAACTTAAATGTAAATATTAAATACAAAAAATCTGTACATGTTCACTTTGAGGTTCATCTCAGGAAAAATAGTTTACTTAAAAAGTATATATTTTTTAATCTACTGGCATTTGTTAATTTATCTGTTTTTAAACTGCTGTGCACATCTGGGTGTCCAAATTCTTCTGTAAAAAGTCTTCAGTTGATCCAAAATGCTGCTGCCAGAGTCTTGACTCAAGTTAGTGGGAGAGATCATCTCACTCCAGTTTTAGTTTCTCTCCATTGGCTCCCTCTCAAATTCAGAATTGAATTCAAAATCTTATTTCTAACCTACAAAGCTCTCAACAACCTAGCTCCATCTTATAGTCAAGATCTCATTGTTCCATATTTTCCTAACAGAGCACTTTGCTGTCAGACTGCAGGTTTACTTGCCGTTCCTACAGTTTCCAAGAGCAGAATGGGAGGAAGATCTTCCAGTTATCAGGCTCTTCTCTTGTGGAACCAACTTCCATTTCCTGTTTGTAAGACTGACACATTGTCCAGTTTTAACACTGGGCTTAAGACTTTTTCCTTTTTGATAAATCCTATAGCTAGGGTTGGCTTGTTATGCTGCAATAGGCTTAGACTACTGGAGGACACGTTGACCTAATTTCCTTAAATGAATTGTTAAAATTGAATAGTTTTCATTTTATACTATTTCTATCTTAACATGTGATTCTCGACCTGCCATTGTGTATCTGTTCCTACCAAACCCAGCCGGTCAAAGCAGATGACCGCTTGTCCCGAGCCTGGTTCTGCTAAACATATCTATATACTAGACTGAGGAACAGCTTCTACCCTGAGGCTGTTAGACTCATGAATCTCTAACTAGAATAATCATTGTGAAAAACCATATCATGTTGCTGCTGATCTGTTTCATGTTGCTGCTGATCTGTTTCATGTTGCTGCTGATCTGTTTCAATGTTGATGTGTTCATGCGTGCACATCTGCTCACAGACTCATGTTCATGTTTGTGCTGATGTTCAATGTTTTATGTTATGAGTGCTTAGTGTATATTTAGTTAATGTTTTTCTTAGTTCATATCTTAGATATTATTACTGTTTTTTTATACATTTTATTGTTGGATGTAACTGGGACCCTGTGTACATAATTTCACTCCACCACATGTACCACATGAGGTGCGAATGACAATAAAGAAACTCTGACTCTCTGACTATATGTTTAAAAATGAGTTTTATTGGTATTTTACGTTGTGAGAGCAAAATGTCCACAACCTGCAATGTTGCGAAGTGTCAGAATGACTGCAGAGCACAGCTGAAACGTGGGTAGTTATGAACACTGTTCAGACCAAGTGTAGACCCGCACCAACCATTGATAAAATTGAACGCAAAGATGAAACAAACTTGGGAATACATTTTCAAAAAATTTTTGTCGGCTAAGGAGGCCATCGTTAGTGAGCGTAACAAATATACACAAACGACAAATAAATGTCAAAATGTTTAAAGAACTAAAAATAGGCATAAATATATCTAGCCCACAATGCATTGCAAAATACTGACTTCGATCATGCACATAAGTAACAGGAAACTGTTCGATGCCAACACGGGTTTGCTATTAGGTGATATATTTAAATAGGTACAGTACTGATTTTAATATTTCATGAGAAATATGGAGCATGTTTTCATGGGCACGTGAGCCAGACTATTTTTTTAAACTCCATCTAGAGGCTGTTAGAGGTGTTGCACACAAACACACCTTTTCATTGGCTTTATGCCTCACACCTGCGGGCTGTTTTCAGGATTTCTGTCCCGGCTGCTGTCACAAAGCTGCTTCAAACTTAACGTCACAAAAATCAGAAACAAACTCATTTTTATAGAATAGTAACTTACCAAAACTTCAATTAATGGCTTTCTGGAACAAAAACTCTAATCTGAGAGCTAACAAACTTCTAAAGTTTCCATTGTTTTCTACAGCAGTCTACTCACTGAAAACAGATGCACTGTTTATAGACTACGAGAAGACGAGTGCGATGAAGGCGTGACTTTAATCTGAATGCCTAAGAAATGCCCCTGAGTGAAACAGATGGTGCTGGTCTGTTCTCGAGCTCACCTCCTGATCCATGCAGTGTCTGTTAAAACGAGAGAAAGCCTTTGGACTAAGGGAGGAGAGGCCTAAAGTCCATCTGTCTGCAGACTTATCGATCCGATCTCTCCTTTCCATTAAAGCACTTGAATACTTAAGATGTGCTTTGTGCACTGTTCTTTTATCCTTTCTTTGCCAGAGGCTGTGCAGGCCAACATCACTTCAATCTGTGTATTACATAAATCCTGTTTTGTCAACATGTTCATACCCTCTCAGTGAGCGTGCATTACCTAAGATGCACCACTAACCAGTGAAGTGCACTGCAGTGGGCTGCTTTAATGCACCTCTTCATTTGCACACCTATCAATGATTAAACGGGCAGAAACGGCAGTCTGAGCAGACAACGCCGCTGACGCAGCAAAACAAAGACGAGCTCAAGTTTGACCATTTAAGACTCCAAGATTTGTTTATATATTCAGTTTACAGATTATGGCGGATTAAAAAATACACAACGTATGTAAAAATAAGAATGTTCTTTAAATGTTCAGAAAATCTCACTTTTATCAATCTGATCTGTGATTTTAAAGAGTTTGCAGATAAGAATTTGCAACACAATATGGTTTGAGTCTTTGTTTGGCTTATGTAAAGGATTCTACATTTATATATTTATATTTCTGGTCTCCCCTCAGGCTGAAAAGGCGGAAGCAGCTCAGGTCGAACCAGTCAGAAAAGGGTCCAAATGAGCGGAGACCTGTGATCATCTCCTGTGGCCCTGACCCCAACAAGAAAACTGACCTTCAGAGAGTAAAGCCACCTGGAGGTTCAGGTAAGACGTAAAGAGTTCTGATTCTTTTTCAGCCTTCTGGGGTAAACGACAACAGTTTAGGTTGCTCAAATGGACATAATCTGACGTTCCTAACTAGTTCATTCTTAACAGAACTGTTGTTCGATGCAGTTTTAATTTGATTGGCCAGAGTGATCTTGTCTGAGTGTAAAAAAAAAAAATTGATAAGAAAGAAAAAATAAGCATTTCAACCTCAATAATGGTAAACTTTTGTGTGATTTATCAATACTCTGTTCTTGTATTACAAAAATTGTGTATTTTTTCCTCACTGAAACCATTTTTTCTACTAAGTTGTTTTTTTTTTTGGGGGGGGGTTACAGTTTTTTATTCATCATGATAACAGAAATATTCCTTTTAATGTTCTAAAGTGTTTTTCCATAAGTGACTGCATCAGCAGGGAATCATTTGTAGCGGAACAACCTCAGCAGTTTTAAACAGGAAGTTGCACAATCTTCATCCTGCTCTGTTTTAACGTCACCAATAACAGAATCAGAATCAGAATGCCTTTATTGTCATTATACGCAGTACAATGAAATTAAGAGACACTCCTTTTTCCAGTGCAAAAACACGCCTTAAGAAAACACACATTAAACACTAAACACACACTAAAAATATAAAAAATGTAACGCAATATAGATATAATAATGAAAGTAAAAAATACAAGTATTACACAATTGTATTGCACATCATGTATATTAGTGAGGTAGTTAAGGTGACTGAGAGTATGAAATGTCAGTAGTATTGCACAGTAGAAGTCCAGGGGTTTGGGAGGTTAGATTATTAAATCAGTGCATGTGTGAGTTCAGTGTGGTGATGGCTTTCGGGAAAAAACTGTTCTTGAATCTGTTTGTTCGTGTTCTGATGCACCTGTAGCGCTTCCCTGAAGGTAACAAGGGAGATAAAAAGTACTTTCTTTATAAAAATTTGCAAGCACCAAGATTTACTAGTAAAATATAAAAGCGTACAAATTCTAAATAATCAAAGCCTTTTTCCTTCAGTATGAGCCATAGAAATGAGGGGAAATAATGTAGAAATCACCCTTCATAGAATAATAAAATAATCTAAACTCCATTTCTGTATTCACTATTTTAAATTGTTTATTTATGCTTTTATCATGCAGTGTACCGTACATTCAAAATTAATAACATTTGATGAACTGCATACGTGTAAAATAAACTCATAGCTTCATATTTACTTAATAATTTTAGAAAAAAGATCACCATGCAAGGCTTTAAGTACAATATAGTCTTTATGGGCTCCAGCTGAATCGTGGCGATTGTTGTCAGCACATATCTTCCCCATTCGTAGCATATCCTCTGTCAGACTGGCTGTGGCTCAGCCAGCTGTGTAAACTCTGGTATTATGAGCTTCAGGCTGCAATAATGCGATCCAAATGCATTCAGCAGTGTAATACTGCACAACTCTCAGCCTTGGTATACATGGTATCAGCTACAGCTCAGAACTCAGTGAATGCAGTGTTCAGAGCAAGTTTAATACTGAACACTGATGCAGGCAGATGCAGCTGGATTTGAGAGTCATGCTGAGTCATCATGTAAGTACCTAAGCATCAAGGAGGGATGCACTAATGTCTTCGCTGTCCTGCCTAAAAGGAAATGCTGACTGCGCCACTTTTCTACAAGAAGAGCCAAGTTGTCTTTGTTTACTTCAACTGTTTCAGTGTGTCAGCGTTTTAAAGCTGGATAATGATGGGGGCTAAACAACTGGTACTGAATAAGTAAACTGAGTGAGGGGTTCCCAACCTTTTTGGCACCACGGACCGGTTTTATGTAAGACGTGTTTTCCATGGACAAGTGACAGTGGTGTGAGTGTGATAGAAGGTCACGTGCATAACAAAACATAATAAAGTGCATCATATAAAATTTAACTATTACATTTGTAATTCAAATAAGGAATATTTTATATTGTTCATATTGTGTAATTTATTTTTAACTCCTTAGCAGTGCAGTTAGTCATGATGCTCTCAGTGCAATGAAGTGGAATTATTGTTTCTGAACTTTATTTTTAAACCAAGGGCTTGTCTTTTAATGATGGTGCTTAGTTTATATGTGGTGAATCACGTGATGCTATGAACCCATCATTTAAGGACTTCTTGTATTTTTCTTGAAGTGCAGCTCTCTTTTTGGTTGCAGTTCTGCGGTCTCATCATCAGGTCTTAGCTCTCCAGCTCCAGTTATTGTGAACTCCTTTTGCTAAAGTTATATTGAGAGCTTACCGGTGGATAAAAAATGAAAAATAAAAACTGCAACTGAGTCAACTGCTAAAATTGCGCTGATGGAAGTGATTGATTTTCAAAATAAAATATCATACAGACTAATCCAAATAGAAAAGATTTCAAAATAAAACATTTTTTCCTATGCAGCCAGATAACAATTGGTTCAAAGCTTGGTACTAGTTCTAGGCCCAGTGGATGGGAACCTCTGATTTAGATGGATATCTCAGCTGATTTCTTTGCATTTGTATATTATTAACCAATAAAGTTTTGGTGTTAATCCAATTTAGCATGGCTGCCACAACTAAGCAGCATTGGCAAACACAAATATGACTGTTTGACAGATATTGAACCTAAAAATAAGTGTTTTGGTAGCTGAGAGTCATCCCCAAATTTACTCTGAGCACTAATTGATTGAACAATATTTGTGTTTTGTTTTTTTAATTACTATCTTGGTCAGATTTACTGACATGTTAGAAGCAGAGTCATCCTCAAAACATACTCCAACTTTTAGGACGTGTAACTGAACTATAAATAAAATGTATACAGGATTTTTCAGTTTTCTGCACCCTGATATACTCTTGCACCTTCAGGTGATGGCTGTAAAAGAAACAAGATGGAGAAGAAGAAGCCACCAGGCACAGTGGAGTATATTGTGAGCAACACAACACTCACTACACCTTTTAAATAAAGTACTGCCATAGATGTGGGATTGTGTTTGAGCTGGGGGGGGGTACTGTGTGAATGTATGAGTTTGTATAACCCTAAACACCCATATGAAGAGATCATATTATAAATATATGCAATAAAATGAATGAACACGGACTTTGCATGTATTCATTAGCATGGACATCTGTTAAGGGGTGCTGCTTCTCCCTCCACAGCCCTACTTCCTTGCTTTGCATACTTCTGAACTTATTATTATTTTAAGACTGGGTTTATTATTTTGACCTACGTGTATTTAAAATGCCATTAGCAGCAGTTTAACAGAGAAGCTAATCTCTTTTTGCAGGTGGGACCAAACGATTCCCTTAACAGCATTGCACTTAAATTCAACATCACCCCAAACAAGCTGGTCCAGCTGAACAAGCTCTTCTCTCGTAGCGTCTACACCGGCCAGGTGAGGGCACTGAATCGATCGCATAAAGCTTCTTCGCTCTCTTTGGTATGGATTAGCTGATTGTTTGCTTTTCATTGTTATTATAGAAGCTGTTTGTTCCTGATGTGAGCCAATCAGAAACTGACCTGAAGTCTCCGACTTCCTCTGACACCTCATTTACTAATGGCATTTCTGACAAACATGTAAGTTTGTCCAAAAGGGTGGTAAAAGCACATCAATGGAGTGTCACTATTGTGTAATTATTGTGCCGTTCTTAACATAAACTCTGTCAAACAAAACTTTTCGTTTCTTTTAAGACAGGTGTCATAAAGTTCATAGTTTTCCTTTTTAATATTAGCTTGAGGCTAAAATTCTTAGAACATATATTATTCTAAAAAGAGCCACAAATTATACGTTTCTAATTAATTTTTTCATTGTTTCAGGATTGCACACAAAGCTGCCGGTCAGCAAAGTCTATCCGCCGGGAGCTCTCTCCAAACTCTGAGGACGAGAGCCCCGCTACGGTAAAATTCATTAAGATGAGCTGCAAATACTTCACTGATGGCATGGTAAGAAGCTAAAGCAATTTAGTGAAATTGACTGGTAGTGTAGCTGAACTTTGAAAAAACAAATATATTTAGTAACTATTTGGGTTATCAGTTTGGTATAGGACAGCAGGACAGTGGTGAATTGTGCTGTAGGAGTGACAGATAGCTTCAAGGTGGAGGTGGGATTGCATCAAGGACTGACTGAGCCGCTTCTTGTTTGCTCTGGTGATGGACCGACTAACATATGAGGTCAGGCAGAAACACCCATGGACAGTGTTGGGCACAATTTCTCTAATCAGCTAAGGGCTAATAGAACAATTTTTTTTGTTTAGCAGATTAGCATTTTCACTACCTTTGGAAACCATTAGCAAAATTAATTTCTGCTAAATTAGGTTTCGCCAACTTTGTCTTGTGAACAAACTTGTAACCAAATTCACCAGTTTATTCCTGTTTGTGGTGGGCGCGTCTCAAAGAGTCCGTTGGTTGTGCTGTTGGCTTACTACATGTACACTTGATAAGACATGATTGGTCAACTCAACTTCAACTGGAAGGAGACGAAGACGTGTGATGCAGACTGTGACAGTCATCTTAGCGGTTAGCGATTTAAGCCACCAGTATACTCAGGCATACGTCAGTTTGCGGAGGTCCGCGCGTACCGGATTAGAGTTGAAGCGGACGCCCACAGGGCATGTCCATGCAAAGTTCAATTTTTGCGTACGTGTACTCGTCGCACAATAAACTGCCCGGCGACGGACTGTTTTGTATTCGACACAAATGTATTAAATTTCCCTTCTTCTTTCCTGATCTGGCCTTTTCTTTTGTTTTGTTATTTGCCAAGAGGCAAGTGATCTCATCCTCCTCCTCCGTTGACGCCATGACTGAAATTGTGAGAAATTAAGGAATTTGCAGCATGGCTGCAGGAGGGTCTGGAGATTTCCTGGTGGGCTGGTCTGATGGGTGAGCTGCAGGGCCAGCGCTCCCTGTTTTTTTATTTGTTAGAACTTTTTATTAACAACATGTAAACGCAGAAAAACGCTGCCGCTGGACTGCCAGCTCTCGCTGTTTTTTGTTTGGGTTTCTTTTTTGCAACGTGCCAATCAGTCCAGTAGGTGTGTCGGCAAATGACCAATCGGTGACCTCAATTGTCCTTAAGGTAAACGCCCCTTGCCTGTGGAGCTTACTGCAGCCGTTCAGGGTGGACGCTCGAATATGAAGTCTCAACCGTCTGCGGACAGTACGCACAGTTTCTGTGCACAGTTTCTGCGTGACTGACAGGACGCGCGAGTATACTGGAGCCTTAAGACTGACTAAGCACCAAATGCACTAAACTAGACTCTTAACCATAAAGTCCAAACACGGTAAATCTCTCATCTCATTCCTCTTGCTGTGTCTATCACCACCGAACTTCCTTTGATTTCCACATCTTTTTCTTCTTCCTGTAGATTTCATATAACATTTTGCTGGTTATGTAATGTAATGAAGCGTCTGCTAATTCTTTTACCTGTTTAATGTTAGCAAAGCTAATTTTTTTAGTTAGTGGAGTATGGGTTTGCGAAGCGAACTTTTTGGTCGACTATGATGTTTATGAGATGATGTGATCTGTGGTGAGAATGAATGGCAACCATAGTAAGACATGGTACATGTTTGTGAATGAGATGGAGGCAGGTGAAACCGTGGTCACAAAGGTGCAGGACTTCAACTACTTGGGTTATGTTGTATGGTTTTGAGACAGTGGCACTGACAACAAGACAGGAGAAAGAACTGGAAGCGACAAGCCCAATCACCTCTATATATTATGGAACATCTCAGAAACTGATTGGTAGACTGGCATGGTGGTCCTGGAGTGTAAGGGAATCGCATAAGTATGATCACATCAGACTTTTTAAAACTGAACAAGCAAGCAGTAAAAGTTTTAAAACACACAAGAAGCCAGTGGAGAGAATCAAGGAGCAGAGTTATGTGTACCTTTTAAAAAGACAAAGTATCCCTTTAATGGAAGCAAAATGTTTTGTTTAAGCAATTGTTACACAATTTCTTTTATTTTCCTCCAGTGGGGTAAGACTAACTTGAATCAGTTGGGATAATGTCTCTTTTTGGCTTTTCAAACACATTTCACCATTCGGACAATCTCGTGTTTTTACAGCTGCTCTGCTGGTGATGAAAGTCACGACTACTGTCTCATGATAATCTTGTTCTTTTGTTTTAGGGTGTGGTTGGAGGCGTGTTAATTGTGACGCCCAACAACATCATGTTTGACCCTCACAAGTCGGACCCCCTGGTGATCGAGAACGGTTGTGAGGAGTACGGTATCATCTGCCCCATGGAGGAGCTGGTGTCTGTGGCGCTGTATGACGACGTGTCACGTATGAAGCTCAAAGACGCTCTGCCATCGTAAGAGCTCACTGTTGGTGGTTCTTTCTCCTCTTAACGGTTCTGCCAGGCCCCCACCCTCACTTCTCCTTTCTTGTTCCTCATTTAAGATTAGATTGTTCTTTTCCTGGCCTGTTTGGAGTTCTCCCACTTGAATATCTCGCATTTTAAACCATCTCCTTAAGTTTGACTGTGTTGACTGAACCTCGCCTATGCCATATTCATCTGCAGCTTTTTCATTAGTCCGAATCTTTTGTTCTATTTGACAGTTTGGTTGTTTTTTCACATCACATTTATTCATTTTGGGTGTCATGTTAAATTCTGTTGCACATGTTTTTTTTTTCTTTTCTTTTTTTTTCTATACGTTTTTGCCCCTCCCTCCCCATCCTGTTTCCGGTATGTGTCATTCCTGCTGACCTCCCAGAGACCTACCCCAGGATCTGTGTCCTGTCTACAGGCCCGGAGAGTGGGAGCAGCTGCCATCAGAGCAAGAGCTGAACCCCTTCAGTCGGTACGAAGCACTTGTACCAAAACGGCCGATCATTTTGGATGACATTAAATCAACTCTCTCTGAAACTGGTGAGACAATATCAAACGTGGATGTTCGTGATCCATTTAAACACTCATATTATCTTGATTATATCTTCTAAGTTTTAGTTAACTGTTGAAAACCAGTTCATGGTGATTAATTTTTTTGAACATCAATACATAAAGTGTCTTGAACCTTGAAAATGTCACTTTGCAACGAAAACAATTATTGTAAGCGGGCTGCAGTGAGTTCCACAAATTAAATTTCAGTCAGGGTAAACGGCTAAGCCAGTAAAAGATATTCCAGTTAAAAATGTCTACATCAGTTAAAAAAAAAAAAAAGTGGTGGGGGGGGGGAAAATGCACAAGCAAAATGTGATTGTTCATACTTGTTGACACTTTTTGGTAGCTATCATAGATGGATAAAACTTTTGTTGCAGCCAATTCTTTCAGTTTTTCTTCAGTTTTTCACGTTTCATCATGTGTCTATCCTGTCAGACATTCAGCTCACGTGCTTCCATTTTTAAGATTTTATCCATAATCTTTATAGTATTTAAGCAAAATTACTTTCAGGATGGTGACAAAACCTTTTAAGTTTTCTTCTCTTTAGGATATGGTTCAGATCACTTAAATAAAGGTTCTCTGGAAATGTTATGGAGAAATATACATGTTACCTGTTGTAGAGAGCTCTTCCAGCGGCCTCAGTATGACGAGTTAACAGCTGGTCTTTGTGGGGCAAAACATCAAAATGAATTTCTAGCACATTTAAACAACACATAAATTTTGTAGCAGTCAGTTGTGGACACAGTTCTGCTAATCTGTGAATAGCAGAATTCACTCTGTATAGCGGATTAGCGTTTTCACTAACTTTGAACACTTTAAGCAGAATTATTTAAGTCCATAAATTTAAATCTATTCATTTATTTTTTATTTTTTTTGAGACAGCTGTCCAGAGTATAAGTGTACAGGAGAATGATTTGCACTGAGCTATGCTATGCAGAGATAAGCACCATGCAGTTATGTCACCACCCCCGCAGTGTTTTTCCCCTCATGTCTACCACAAACAGTCTCTGACTCGTGGTGTCAGTTTACAGCCAATAACAGAAACTTTAAGATGAATGCCAAACCAAACCTGAACAGGAAAATAACAGGAAAACCCCATTTTCACACTCTGAAACATCATAAACGGTCAGAAACATAGCACACATAGTTCCTCCTCAGCATGCTTTGCAACGCTCACACTGTCTCTGGGATGAGACTCTCTCACACATTTCACACATCTTTATGTTGATACAAACGGATTTATTGCAGAGAGAATATTGATGATGACGCACAGCGACTTTGTAGTTAGTTTAGATCAGTAATTGATCACATTAATTTTGTTGCATTATTATTTTTGGGTCAATGACAGTTTATTCAAAAACCTTGCACCTTTTACTCTAAGGCCCAAAACGGCCCCTCTCAGAAAAGTCTAATGAAAATGTAATGTGTGTATATATATATATATATATATTTAATTTTTTTTACTTCCACTGCATCAAATCTGTTCAATAACTTCAGACCTAACTGTGGATATAAAGTTATTTATTTATTTATTTGCATTTTTTACCTTTTTTGGGTCATAGAAACCCTTGATTTTTTTTTCCTCTGGAAATGAACAAAATATTCAATATTTTTAAAAAATATATGCAATGTGGAATATTTGGCACAGCCCCTCTGTGAGTGACAGGAATTCCTCCCCTGATGCCTCCTGGCCTTCAGAGGAATCTTCACTGCTAGTTATATCTTCCTCATCCTCCTCACTCCCCTTTGAGGACTGCAGCTTCCTCTACTGTTAGGCTTCTCCTCATGGCTGTCTGCTGGAGAAATGACCAGCAAGACCAGGCTGCATTTTTTACCCTTTGCAATAGAGCGGGTAATGAAATTTTTAAAGTAATATTAAAAAAATTAATCCTGGCCAAGTTTCATGAAATTCGTTTAAACTGACTGATTTATTAAGAATCAAACATAACAAATAAGCAGGATGTACACGTTTGGTCCCCTAAGGTGCAATAGCAGTAATATACTTTAGTTTTGATCCTCTTCAGACTAGCCAGTAGCTCATCAGTGTAGTCGGAATTGAACTCGTGTTACTCCAAACTAAGGTTGTTCAAAGAGCGATCTACAACAGTAAATATGATTCTTCATAATGTTTCACAGAACCCTATTTTATAGGATCTGATTTATCTCTTTAAAGTGGTTTATTTTAGACTTTAGTTGCATTTAGAACGTTATAGTTTTCAGGGGGGAACCATAATATTTAGTTTGTATACATAAATATATAGAAAAATAATACAGCATGTTTTTATATTGATTCATACACCTATATATATATATTTTTTTGTTGCTTAAATGACACATTGGTCTAAATGTTTTTCTAATTTTATTTTATTTTAATTGTCAATTGCTTAATTCATAGTAAGATAAAATCGATCTATAAAAACATAGACACAATCATAAAGTGATTCCTAAACAAAACATTTTTGTCGGCAGTGAGTACAGAGGGTGAGCAAACAGAGGAGTCTCCGCTGGATGAAGGTTTTACTGAACTGGAGCCTACAGTCAGCGGAAACACTGAGGAGGTGGCAGGGACGTCCTCCTCATCAATCAGCACTATCAGCAAGGAGCAATATGAACTCGTGGCACCAAGCTGCCCATGCCAGGAAAAAGACAATTTGATGCCCTGTCACCTTAAAAGGAGGCTTTATGATGACGAGGATGAAGGTGTGGCTCAAAACATCTCTATTGACGATGGAGAGTCGATACAATCCTCCTTAAAGACTAAAAAGCATGTTAAACCTGCAAGCCAGCAAGCAAGTGAAATCAAAGCTGAAGGAACTGAAGAGCTCCTAAATGCTGCGGATGATAAAATAATCAGGAAGCTGAGTCTTCAGGAGGATTCTGGGGTTCGTGGGACGTCTGGTCTGGAGAGACAAAGTCCGGACAGACCAGCAGAGGGGGGTGAACTGAGTGAGGAGCGACCGAGGAAAAACTACGAGTCAGAGATGAAGTCTTGGCTGCTGAAGAGGATGCAGGTTCCAATAAAAGGTCCAAATCCTACACATTGATGCAAATAAATGGACTGTTGTGTGCATGTAATTAAAACATTTTAAATATATTTACACGTTGAATTAAAGAAACTCCATTTGCTGCAAAAATACAGTTGATTGACTTTACTGTAATTTGCTGAGGCTAAAACTTAATTTAAACTTTTAAAAAAAGCAGAACACTAGTGAGAAACTAAAAATAGCTGAATAGTAGCTACAATTAACAGTGATTAAAAGCTACCTGAAACCTGATCCGTGGCATTAGGCTAGCTAAAATACAAGATTAACAAAACCACTGTTTAAAGCCATGGGGTTGCAGAAGCTCGATGATCATGGCCGTGGTCCTGTGGTCCAGAGGTTGTAGTTGTAGGTTCAAGCCTTCGTTACGTCAGGAAACGCATCCAGCAAAAACACTTGTCAAATCTTTTGTGTGAGTTTGTTCGATGTGATAACCTCTGAAGTAGAGCCAGCAAAAACAACAACACTGTCAAAAGCTAAAAGTATAAAGGTAGTAACCATGAACTGAATGCAGAATAAGACAAAAATAGAGCAAAAATGTGTGGGAGATCTTGTGTTTCTATGAGAAAATATTTGTAATTGTTTAAGATTTTAAAATTTATGAAGTTTTAAGAAATAAATGTAGTCTAGTAGGTAAAAGTAAATTTGTAAATAAATAAAGCAAGAAAGCAGTTGTTTGAATTCTGAATCAACAATGACACAATTGTTGACCAAATGTCTGTAAATTCCAGAAGAGTACTAAAAATGCTAAATCAAAAATGTGCATTAAAAAAGTGTTTTTATTTCATTTATTTCTTCATTTGGCAGACATGCTTTTGTCATCAGAGGAGAAGAGTAAAAACCCACCCATGTTCCTCTGCTTCAAAGTTGGAAAGCCGATGAGGAAGTCTTTTGCCGTCGGCATGACGCCCAGTCCTGCCCGCTCCTTCGGGGCTCCAGAGACGCAGCCAGAGTACTGGTTTGCTGTGCCACTGGAAAGGTGAGGTGACGCAACCCAGTCTTCATAAATGCATATTGTGATGGGAGCAAACTTTTTTTGGTTAGTTTGGTTTTAAAGTGAAATGTTTTTTTCCAGGGTGCACGATCTGTATTCGTTTTTCGTTCAGTGGTCTCCTGATGTTTACGGAAAAGAAGCTCGTGAGCAGGGCTTTGTCGTGGTGGAGAAAGATGAGCTGGACATGATTGATGACTTCTTCAGTGACCCTGCCTCCTGCAGCTGGGAGGTGAGGAACCGTGTTTTTATGACGCAGTAATCACAACCACTGCTCTGATGTTTCTCATTTCTGATACAGAACTCTACAATCTTTGCATTTTCTTATTTTTGTTGACATCCTAACCCATGCTCTAATCTAGATCATCACCATCGACGAGGCGAAACGCAGGCAGAGTTTTGGCAGCTGTGACAGAGACGCAGCTGTGGATGCACTGCCTTTTCTCATTGATAGCAGTGATCTGCTGCAAGACACACACATTGAAAAGGTAAGTCAATCCACTCCGTCATAAATACTTTATTTGAATTTGAAAAGCACAGAATTTCAATTCCTTTTTCATCCGATCCATTTTTTTAATCCCCTTCAGCTTGCCTGTCGCCTTCCAGCCCGTGTGCAGGGATATCCATGGAGACTGGCCTACAGCACTGAGAAACACGGTACCAGTCTGAAGACTCTGTACAGGAACCTGGCAGATGTGGACAGTCCTGTGCTGCTCACCATCAAAGACATGGATGACCAGGTACATGACAGAATGACTTTGGCGTCCTCTTGTGGTGACAAAAAGGCGTTTTATTTATTTATTTATTTATTTTTTTTGGTCAGTCTAAAGGTGCTTCTGTTATCAGAACATTTTTTTTTACCTTGATAATTATGTTGCCACTACAGCCTGAGATACAGAGTGTATTAGACAAATAAAGTCAGTGAAGTGTATCGCTCCATCTTCAGCTGCTGACATTGAAACAACATTTTCGGAGCCCTTAAACTGTATTTTTCAGAACTAGGTTCCAGAATGGAAAAGTATTTTAACTCTTGCATTATCGTGTGGACAGCCAAAACACAACCTTTTTGAAAACATTGATGTTATAGACTCACCTTTAACCTATATACACCTTATTATATTATTATTGTTTAGTGTATATCTTAGATCCTTGTATACTGTTCTTTTCTTATACTTTATAGTTTTGCTATTTTGGGTGCAACTGGGACCTTGAGTGCACAGTTTTGTTCCACCTCATGTACCACATGTGACGTGAATGACAATCATGTCTCTTTGAACCTTGATCCTTGATAACTAAGCGTTGCAGATGTAATAACAAACACTGATAAAAAAAATAGCTTGACTTTAAATAAAGCAGAGCTTTAAGTTTTTAAGAGTTAAGTTTTGGTAAACACTTTTTGCAGGAAGCATAAATTGAAAAACGAAGGAAATGGGAATGATTTAACAAGAGCAACATTTGTATATGAAGAATTTACTCTGAGATACTTTCATCATGGACTGGACTGGACTTGGGAGCTCTGTCCTGAGGAGCTTCTATCTGTGTGGTGGAGAGCGTTCTCTGCACCTGCATCACCGTGTGGCACAGCAGCTGCACTGCTGCTGAGAGGGTGGTTCTGCAGAGGGTGGCTAAGGCTGCACAGAAGACTGGTAGAAGCAGCCTTCCCACCACCTTGGACCTCTACACTTCACGATGCAGGGGGAGGGCGCGCCGCATCTTGAAGGACTCCACTCATCCTGCACACAGTCTGTTCCAGCCCCTCCCCTCAAGCAGGCGGCTAAGGAGCATTCAGAGCAAGTCCACCAGACTCAGAAACAGTTTCTTCCCTGCATCTGTCAGACTACTGAACTCAAGCTGCACTTAATTCAGCTTCATCATACATTTTTTAAAACTTTGTTTATTATATATATATATTTTTTTTTTTTGTTTGTTTTTGTTTTTTAATTGTTTGGCTTCTTAATCTGGGACCTGAGTCCGAATTTCGTACCACAAACATGCAAATGTGAGCTGGTATGACAATAAAGAATCCTTGAATCGTCCTGGGGTCAACTCTTCCCTCCCTGACTACTGTGCCTGACGAGTGGCCATTATATCTGTGTGTTTGAACTTGCTTTACACCCAGTCTTGTGTTTACAGTTCATGTATGTTCATTAATGCTTCTGCTCCACGTCTTGAGTTTTGTTTCTGGTGTTTTTGTGTCAGCGTTGCAGTGCCTCACACAGGCCCGTCACGTTCAAGTTCAAGTTGGTTTTATTGTCATTCGCATCACGTGGTACGTGAGATGGAACGAAATTGTGTACACAGGGTCCCAGTTACATCCAACAATAGCAAAAATATAAATTGTAAAACGAAACCGTAATAAAGATCTAAGCTATAAACTAAGAAATACCCTAAACTAAGAATATGCTAAACACTAATAGTGCAAAACAATATGCCGAACAACAGCAGCATGAATATTCTGCATCACTGTGTAAAAGACAACATTTGTAGAAATAATGTCATGCTTATCAGGATAGTTAAAAAAAATCTTTAGACATATAACTAAAAGATTGTTTAAGAAAAATGGAAAAATTACAGTGTGGTCAAGGCCGTAGTTCGTTCATATGCATATTTGTAATGGACTGTTGTTGGGAGTCCTGGAGGCTCAAATTACTCTGGTTTTTGTAAAAGTTTCCTGAAGTAAAAACATGCCCTAATGTAAAAACTTCTGTACTACTTAAAATATAAGTAGCGGCCTTATCAATAAAAGTGTGGCTATGATTGTTGATATCTGGATAAATATACTTTTTTTTTTTTTTTAACAGATATTTGGGGCATTTTCAACCCATCCCTTCAGAGTCAGCGAGCACTTCTATGGCACTGGGGAGAGTTTCCTCTATAGCTTCTGCCCAGAAATCAAGGTTTTTGATCATTTAAAAAAATTAAAGTATATAACGTAAGTATAATTTTGAAGTCTTAATATTCACTTTATACTTTCAGGTGTACCGCTGGACAGGAGAGAATTCTTACTTTGTGAAAGGCAATATAGATTCACTGCAGATGGGAGGAGGAGGGTGCGTACATCTGTCTGATGTTTGAGGTGCTGCCAACAAATTAAAATGGTTTTTAAATGTTAACATTTGTTCTGCAGAGGTCACCTGGGTCTTTGGCTGGATGCTGAGTTGTACCGAGGCACCACCACCAAATGTTCCACCTTCAACAACCAGCCTCTTTCCTCGCAGCAGGACTTCAACATCCGCGGTCTGGAGGTGTGGACCTTCGAGTAGCCACATCCGCTAAGGCCCAGATGTTTACCTGTACGTCACTTGGAGGCAAACATGTAGCCGCCCACAAACAACACCAAGCACACTGAGACAGAAGCAGACGGTGAAGCTGCGACGTCAGTATTCTTCAGAGCAAGCCTGCGAACAGGTTTACACCCGTTTAAAGGTGGAAGTGTGAGAAAGTGTCTCTACTCGTCACATTTCATCGGCTGCCTTCGAACGCAATCGGCTCCAGCTTCTCCACCATGAAGGCTGCCACAAACCTAAGAATCAAGAAGACAGCAGATACATCTGATGTTACTGTTCACGTTATTCTAGAAAGAGCTGTGTTGTTGTGTTAAGGAGTACGAAGTGCTGTGGGCTTTTCTTTTCAGAAGTAATGGTCTGTTTTGTATGGTTAGCAGTGTACAGTTATGAACTGAATAAATCTGGAATGGTAGTTTATTTTATGTCACAATTGACTTGAAACTTGAAAAGTGAATGACTCGTTCACCGTCCAATCAACTCAAACCCGTTTACGTTGGAAGTGTTTACTTCCCCTTAAATCAGACTTTCTATTTTTTTTATTCCTGAATGACATGATTGAATCACATTCTGTTCCTGAATAAAGAAGTCTGTTTACATTCTCAAAAACAAATCGACTGCTAGAGCCTGAAAAAATGTTTGCTATCACCAAATATTTTTGCATTTGATTTTTTTTTTTTTTTTTTTTACAAGGAAGGTTTGGTTATAGTTTTATTTTTATTACTTCAGCAACGACTATATCCTATTTCCTACCAATGTTAATTCCATTCTCACCCAAAATAATTTTTTTTTTTACTTGTTTATATGTTTTTTGGCCCTTTTTTTAAGAGGTTTATTTAACACGTGGCCTCTTTGCACTAAAAGATGCAGCCAGTTCTGTGTTGTTAGTCCTTTGTAATGAAGCAGTACTTCAAAATAAAATTGTTACTGAATGTTAATGATTATGAAAACAGGAGAAGCTGCCTGTCCTACCACAGTTCAGACTTTGCTTTATTTAAGTAAAGTTAGAGAAGTGTTCATGTGTTGGTACATACTTATAAACCACTAACTATTCAAATCTACTAACACAGAAATGTTGATTTAAGTTTTCTGTGTGAAACAGGCATGGACGTTCAGCACAGCGCAAGCATCTGACACCACTACCTGCCAATCTTAAGGCCAGTAATCGCTTCATATGAAAAATGAAAAACAAGCTTTTTTTTTTTTTTTTTGCTTTTTTTTTTTACAATGTCCAGTGTTGTAACTGTGAATGCTCCCCTTATCATAATTCTTGTGAATCCAAAACTGATTTGTTCTGTGATGTCACCAAGAATCTATTTATTGTGTTGTTACTGCAACCACATATAAACTTAAATAAATGTTAAATATATGCATAGTTATGACAACGAGTTGGTCATTTCAGTTTTGTGAAGAGCCTTTAACGAATTCACATTAATCATGTTCTAATATACAAATTAGGAAGTCGTCATCCTTTCAAAGGTTGTAAACTATGAAGATGACTCACTCTTGTTCACACGAAGTTCTTACCTTGCCGTTCTGTTCAAGCACATTAAATCGGATCTTCGCTCGGCCCTCATTGTACCTCAAAAACAACGGTATTTCTAGGGCAGTAAGGCCAGTGAAAACCATTGGAACATAAATAAAATGTAATTTCATTGTAATACGTTTAATTAAATATTAACTGACAAAACTTTTCTTCTTTTCACTATGACTGTGCTTTTTTATTATTTTCATTTACTCTTATGTTTATTTTTACTTATTAAGTGATTAACTTAACATTACCACCCACCCCCCTCACAGAATAATAAAGTAAATCTGAATTGATTTCGAAAGCTTGATAATTCATCATACTCTGTTCTTTGAGAGGAGCACGGAACCATTCATCTTCGCTGAATTAGACGATCTTTGTTGGTCATTGCCATAACCAGGAAACATAAACCAACAGTTGGGAAATTTAGGCGGAGAAATTATGTCGAATAAAGCTGAAGATATCGATGAAACGTGTATTTTCTGCTCGATTGCGCACAAAAGAAACAAAGAAACGAAAATAATTAAACAGGTAAGGTGCTTTTAAACTCAGGTCAGAGAGTTCATATTGAAACTCATAAAAATTCGTGATTTTTTTTTTTATTCATTAAAATATGAATGAGGCTGTATCATAAGCGTCGCATCAATAATATGGGAAGGGGACGTTCCTCCCTCACATTAAAAATATTAGACTAGAGTTACTTTATTTTAAGTATCGATATTTAAAACCACCTTTCAATTCAAAATAATTTTAAATTTGCTAATTATTTCCACGAAACACTATTGATTTTTTTTTATTATTTTTTTTTATTATTATTTTACTGAATGTGTGGCTTTAGGTACAAATTTATCCATATTTTTCCGAATAAATGTAAATTTGTTTTAAATTATAATTAAAATGTATCACTTTTAAATTTGCAGGACATTACAGGATATTTATGAACACTGAATAAAATAAAATAAATTAAATTAAAAAAAAAAAGAGTTCATACACAGTCTTTAAAAATAATTTTAGTATTTTCCAGGACTGGATAATCTGCGTATGGATTAACATTACTGACTTTCACATTTTTGTGTGGGCAAAAAGTTATTTTTCTTTGTAAACAACATATTTTGAGCCAAGCTCAGCAGAAACGATGCAAGTAGCATAATTAAACTGACTGCTGGTATCAGACAGTCTTTCAGTAACGCTGTATTCACAGCTCAGGCACAGTTTGAATCAGTAATATGTCCTAATCTCTGTTTTTTCCACTCCCCTGCAGAATGACGGGCTGGTGTGTTTCAGAGATATCTGTCCTGTGGCTCCTCATCACTACCTGGTTATTCCCAGAGAGCACATCCACAGCTGCCGCTCACTGAGCAGAAGACACGTTGAACTTGGTCAGTTAATGAAAAATACCATACCATTTTATTTATAGAGCACTTAAACAGCTACAAGGCCAACCAAAGTGCTGTACAGACAACACATGAAGCAATATACAAAATGAAGTAAATCAAAAATATAGACATAAAAGCGATGCAGATAATAAATATGAAGACAAATCAGTGTGGAGCGTACAAGATTCACAACACAGATTCTCTGGTGTTGAAAGTTACTGAATAGTAGTGGGTTCTTAAACGGGACTTGAAAACCGAGAGGGAGGGGGCCTGTCTGGCAAGCAGAGGTAACTCGTTCCAAAGTCTTGGTCCTGCTACAGAGAAGGCCCTGTCACCTCTGCGCTTAAGACGAGTTCCTGGAACTGTGAGGAGCAACTGGTCCGCTGACCTCAGGGAGCGTGGTGGGACATACGGTTGTAGCAGATCAGAGAGATGGGGGGATCGGGGGGCGAAACTGTTCAGTGATTTGTAGATATACAGGAGTATTTTGAACTGGATTCGAAGTTGAACCGGTAACCAGTGCAGTGAGGCCAAAACTGGTGTAATGTGCTTTCTTTTGCCTGTACTGGTTAAAAATCGGGCTGCTGCATTCTGGACCAGTTGTAGTCGTGCAGTGGAGGTTTGACTGATACCAAACAGGAGTGAATTGCAGTTATCAAGCCTAGATGTAATGAATGCATGTATTTCTGTCTCCAGGTTATTTTTGGACAATATGGGCTTCAGTTTAGACAGCCGCCTCAGCTGGAAGAAACATGATTTTACAATCATGTTTACATGATTGTTAAGCTTCAGGGAAGGGACCATTATCACGCCCAGATTAGTGACTCTTTGTTTTTCTGACAGAGTTAGAGTGGAAAGGTCGATGCAGTGGTTTGTGATCGTGTCATTGGGAGGGAACAACATGACTTCAGACTTCTTTTAATTGAAACTTAAGAAGTTTAAAGCCATCCAGTCCCTGATGTCAGCCAGGCAGTTGAGCAGAGGTTGAATAGAGCATGTGCCATTGTGTCTTAGGGGGAAGTAAATTTAACAGTCATCGGCATAGAAGTGGAAGGGCATATTGTGTTTCCGGAAAATAGCACCAAGCGGCAGCAAGTATAGAGAGAATAGGAGGGGACCCAGGATGGACCCCTGCGGAACCCCCCATTTAAGCTCTGTCGCTACAGAACTAAAATCCTTGATGGAGACACAAAAGGATCTGTCAATGAAGTAGGATCTGAACCAATTGAGGGCTGACCCTGTGATGCCCACCCACTGCTCCAACCTAGCAATGAGGATCTCATGGTCGATGGTGTCAAAGGCGGCTGTGAGGTCCAACAGGACAAGCAGCACAGAATCACCAGTATCTGTGGATCTGAAGATGTCATTAAAGACCTTCAGCAGGGCAGTTTCACTGCTGTGGAGAGGTTTAAAGCCAGATTGGAATAGCTCTAAGATGGCGTGATCCTCCAGGAAGCACTTGAACTGGGACTCGACTATTTTCTCCAGTATTTTAGAAACAAATGGGAGTTTGGAGACAGGCCGGAAGTTGGAAATGGCTGAGGGGTCAAGGTTTGTTTTTTTCAGGAGAGGCTGGACGGCAGCATGTTTAAATGTTTTTGGCACCACGCCAGTGGATAAACTACTGTTTACTATGGTAAGAGTGGACGGACCTAGAGTTGGAAACACCTCCTTTAGTAGTCAAGGGGGGACCACATCAAAGGGGGAACCAGAAGGTTTCAAGCTGCACATGACCTGCTCTAGAGAAGATAGAGTGATGGGTTCAAAATGGTCAAATAGAGCTACAGATTGAGGTGGGATGGATGGGTCATGAGTTTGAGGGGAAATGAGAGCCCGGGTGGTCGCAATTTATAATCCGTTGTAGAAGTACATCCAATGATTAACTTCTGAGTTTCATTAAAATCTATGAGGTGGTTCACAATATATTTTGCTAACAGACAGACAATGAACACACATACCGATATAGGCAAAAACTATTGTTTTCAGCTGCAGGCATTAAAAACATTTTCTATAGTTGAACTACTAAAGCAGCCATTTTAACTTTCCTATTTCTGATTATGAGTCACTGTGTTAAACTTTCAAACTCTGGCTGTAAAGACTTTTATTGTTTTACCTTTTTATTTATATATATATATATATATATATATATTTTACAATAACATATCCTGTATTCAACAGTTGAAAGAATGGCTGAACTGGGGAGAGCTGTGCTTTATGACCAGGGGATCAAGAATATGGAGGATGTAAGGTATGGAGAAGGTTGGAGTGTGTTTCTGTACTGAAATATAAAGTGAAGTGTTCAAAGGAAGTTCTGTTGCAAATACTGACCCAACAGAAAATTTTAATGAATATATATATATAAAAAAAAAACCTGTTGCCATATTTGTATTACAGTGATATTTTAATGAAGAGTCTCCGCTTCAGGTTGTTAATGGTGGTCAGATGAGTTATTTCCTGTTTCCACTGTGAATAAATTACTAGTTAAAGCTCAAGGGTCAAAGAAGTCATTAACCTTAACAAACATATAAAACATGTCTTGAAACCGATGCCAAAAAAACCAAAAATGTAAAGAAAAAGCTGAACACAAACTAAAATAGAGACAGAATTAGAAATGGAAAACACAAGATGCAGATCAGCAACAAATAATGAAGGAAAATGCATTTCCTGTAAAAATACAGTGTGTGTGCAGAGAGACTGCTGAAATGAGCTGAAGAGCTGAAACTTAATTGGTAAGTATACTAAAGCAGCATGCTGGCTAGAAGCTACATAAAGCAAGATGCTAACTAAAGACAAACATAACAAAATTCTAATTAAAAGTAGTAAATCATTAGCTACAAAGTAAAAGTATAAAAAGTCTAGCCAAATGCTAAATGTAGCTAAAAGCTCACTCAATGCTAAAAGTGTCAAAATAATAGCTAAAAGCTTAAATAGACTAGTTAAAAGTAGCCAAAGGATATCTAAATGCTGAAGCAACAAAATGATAGCTAAAAGAAGCAGGCTTGCCTAAAGCTAAAGTTAGCTAAAATTAACAAAAGGTTAACTAAAAGCTTAAAGTAGCAAAAGTTTGCTAAAATGATCAAAATATCATATATATCTATATGATGATAAGTAGCAAAATGTTAGCTAAAAGCTAATACTAGTAAAGGTTAGCTATAAGCTAAAAGTATCACAAGGTAAGCACTTTGGAAACAGCTGCACACTAGCTAGAAGCTAAATAAAGCAAGATGCCAACTAAAGATAAAAGTAGCAAAATGCTAATTAAAAGTAGTAAATCATTAGCTAAAAATCAAAAGTAAAATAAACTAGCTAAATGCTAAATAAAAAGCTCACTCAAAACTAAAAGTAGCAAAAGTATAAAAGCTTAAAAGTATACAAAGGATATCTAAATGCTGAAGTAACAAGATGATAGCTCAAAGTAGCTTAAGTCTGGCCTACAGCCAAAGTTAGCTAAAAGTAACAAAAAGTTAACTAAAAGCTTAAAGTAGCAAATGTTTGCTAAAAATATGAAAATGGTAGCTATTTATGGAAAGAAGCAAAATGCTGGCTAAAATCTACTATTAGTAAAGGTTAGCTATAAGCTAAGTATCATAAGGCCATCTGAAAACTAAAAACCATAAAGTAGCTAAAAGTAGCAAAAGTCTAGCTAAAAGCTAAATGTAGTAAAACAGGAGTGCAGATTGCTGCTCAATGGCATGTTTATTTTTTACTTTAGCATTGCAGACTTTTTGTTTATTGTTGAATTTGTGATTTTTATTTGGTCTCTCTTATCTCTCTTAAGTCCTTCTTTTGTCTATGTACTATTTTTTGTTCTCCAGGCTGGGTTTCCATAAGCCTCCCTTCATATCAGTCGGTCACCTGCACCTCCACGTCCTCGCCCCCGCCAGCCGTATCTCACAGTCCATGCTCTACAGGTTCACTCCAGGGACTGACTTTTTTATTACTGTAAGTCCAAGTGGCTACAGCTTCATTCTTATTCACTCCATGTTTCACTGGTTATTACCGCTCACTATACTGAAAGGTGTGTTTCTGCATCTGTCACCCAAAAATCTGATGAACCACTGGGTGATGAGCATTCCTTCAAAAAATGTTAGGCCTTGGTTATTATTGTTTCTGTGTATGATTACAACGGTCATCACAGTGTTGCCTTAGCTTTTAGGGATTTAAATGTCTAAGCATGAGATATAATGTGAAACAGATTCTGTGTTCTTTTATCAGCTTCAGTGAAGTTTTTATCTCTTCACCTTTTTTTCCAGGAGGAATCTCTAAGAAACCGACTACAGAAGAAGATCCAGCAGTCTCATAAATTAGGAAATTGTTTTGGGGTCGCGTGACGCTGCAGATCTCACATTGGTCTCTGTGTGTTTGCTCACCAGCCGGAGTTTCAGTGGCCATATCACAAGCTGGAAAGATGAAAAAATGTTTGCTAAACAGAAAAACATTTTTTTTTTTTTTTTTGCCTGTTTCCATCCGACAAAACCCAATACAGTAGCCCCTTGCTACTTCATGGTTCGTTTTTCGCAGGCTTGCTCTGTCGTGGTTTTTCAAAATAAGATTGGACATGACACAATTGGTTGATTGATGGATGAGCCACACGATCGACATGTAATTTTTATATAAAATGAATTATTTTAAACTATTTAGCACCTACTGCACCTGTGCAGCCCACACTGCAGGAGAAACTTCTTCCTGTAGCTCCTCTTCCCTCCTCCTCTGTCGATTTCTGCTCTTCACCAGAGAAGTGGGCGTGGCCAAGAGCGCAGAGTGCAGTCGTGGCAGAGATCTGAAATCATGACATTCTGTGCTCTTTTAGAGCGTTTAGAGTTTAGAAACATTGTTTAGAATATTGCAAGAGTGTGGGAAGGGTTTAAAATGCCTTAAAAAAATTTATATATATATATATATGTGTGTGTGTGTGTATGTGTGTGTGTGTAT